CTGACACCCCGTTTGCACTTGCTAGAAGTCCATTCACAGTCAAAATTGAAGATGTTCCTGAGAGTGCACAAGAGGAGTTCATTGAACTCATTACCAGCGATGCAGCAAAAAATTATTTCTCTTCAATGTCAATTAATACATTCTGGATCAAGTGTTTGCAGTCATATCCTGCTCTGTCTGAGATTGTGTTGCGCCTTCTTCTTCCATTTCCAACAACATATCTCTGTGAAACAGGCTTTTCAAGCTTGTTGGTTATCAAGTCTAAATACAGAAGTTGACTTGTTGCAGAAGATGATCTTCATTGTGCTCTTGTAAAGACTGCCCCGATAATTTCTGATTTGATGAGAAAGAAGCAACCTCAGCCTTTGCACTGACTCTTTAGTAAGCTTATTTTTTTGATGCGTGGTTTTGCAACAATTTTGCAGCAATGTAGCTTACTGTTATTATATTAAGACTGTTACCGTCGTTACTCTTTGTTTTCACATTTTCACATGATTATACAATTGAATACGGTGAATACAGTTCAATACACAATGAATAAAAAATAAAAATAAACCTAAGTCGTAAACATTTTATTCATTTGTAACTTATATGTTAATTAGAAATAAATATTCCACAATATTTACTACATATTGTTTTTGTGATTAAATACTAGCTTTAATTATGTTGAATTTGTAAGAATAAAAACCAATCCTGCATATCAGATATTTATATTTTGTTTCCTAATGGTAGCAAAAACAGCGATGAAGGAGCAATAAAAATACTTTTACTGTTGGGGGTTGCCACAACTTGGGCAATTTTATCAAAGGGTCGCGGCACTAGAAAGGTTGAGAACCGCTGAAATAGAGGATTTGTTGTCTCCTTTAAGCAGTGGTTCTCAAACTGTGGGTCGCTGTGTGTCCTCCTCAGCCCTTGTAACGTCTAGCCCAGGAGGTTAGAGTGGACCACAACTGCGGAATTAACTAGCCACCTGTGTGTGTGTAAATTGTCTCAGATCGAGGGTTCACGGTCGCACTCTGTATGTTTAGGAGTGATGGTGGAACCCTCTAGCACATCATATGCCAACAAGTATAGGATGGTAGACTGAGAGTCCTCAATAGGAGTGTTAGAAATATGTCACATAGATGAGTAACCCATGAGCACTTAATCTATTGCATACTATTAGTAGTCTGTAATCAGCTTCACCCCTCACTCTCCAGGGTGAACATGGGATAGTGAACATGGGATAGTTTGTATCAGAACCGCAGTACTGATCAATGGATGTAATCACAACTTATCACAGGAATGCTGCTATCACTTTAAAAGTTATGCACATAGAAACCACAGCTGTCACTTGCTAAGTATAGCCTCAAGAGGCAAGGGTACTTGCTGTTAGAGGAGGGTTTTACCGTCCAATAGATGGTCCAGGAAGCTGTATTTGAATTCCAGGCAATCCTGGCAAGGTGTCCTAGAGGCCAGCAATTGAGGAGTCCGCTGGTTGCAGGGAAGGATCCCTGTGAGAGCAACTGATGAAAGCAGCAGGGCGGTTGAGTGGGGTGAATTGGCTGGTTAGCCTAAGTGATGGTCGGTTCCTGTGTTCTCAGGTCGGTGGGCAAGTTGCACTGGCCCGACGTTCGCAACACTAGAACGCCGAGCCATTGCAACTGGTGTCTTTTTAAGGAGGAGGAGATCCTGAAGGGGGAGGAGCCGAGCGCGCCGTGTGACACCTCGGTCTCCTAGTGACGTCACGCCGGAGCGGCCAGCCCGCGGCCCGAAGCGACGGACACGGGAGATCCTATTACAGCCCTCTCCTAGCGCAGCAGTGTCAGTTTTCCTGCCACGCCGCCAGATGTCGCTGCAGCAGCCACGTCATCCCTCAATTTTACCATTGGGGGTCACCACAACTTGGCAAATGTAACCAAGGGGTCCCGGCCCTAGAAAGGTTGAGAACCACTGGTCTAGGGTCTATGTCAATTAACAAAATGAAATGGAAATCAAATGAACAGAAGAGAAATTCAAATCAATATTTGGTGTGGCCACCCTTTGCCTTCAAAACAGCATCCATTCTTCTAGGTACACTTGCACACTGTTTTTGAAGGAACTCGGCAGGTAGTTATTCGAAACATCTTGGATAACTAACCACAAATCTTCTGTGGATGTAGGCTGCCTCAAATCCTTTTGTATCTTCATGTAATCCTAGACGGAATCGATGTGAGATCAGAGTTCTGTGGGGGCCAAACCATACATTCCTGGACTCTTTGTTCTTTACTCTGAAGATAGTTCTTAGTGACATTGGCTGTATGTTTTGGGTTTGTTGTCCTGCTGCAGAATAAATTTAGGGCCAATCATACGCCTCCCTGATGGTATGGCATGGCATGATGCAAAGGTATCTGCTTGTATTTCTCAGCATTGAGGATACCATTGATCCTGACCAAATTTTCAGACTCCATTGGCAGAAATGCAGCCTCAGACTTGCAAGAAACCTCCACCATGCTTTGTTGTTGGCTGCAGACACTCATTATTGTACTGCTCTCCAGCCCTTCGGCGAACAAGCTGCCTCCTGCTACAGCCAAATATTTAAAATTGTTACTCATAAGTCCAGAGCACCTGCTGACATTTTTCTGCACCCGAGTTTCTATGTTTTAATGCATAGTTGAGTCACTTAGCCTTGTTTCCATGTCCAGAGGTATGGCTTTTTGGCCTTGGAAAAATGGTAGCAGGGCCTCTGGATCCATTTTTTTAATTGATACAAATAAACTATTAACACTTTTTCTGAAAGCATTCTTACTTTACAGCATTTCTTCACACCTGCCTAAACCTTTTGCACAGTTCTGTATATATCTTAATGTGATTTAATATGTGTTTGATCTGTCTGGATACATATATTTTTGTCTGTCTCTTTAGAACTTGGGGAATTTATTTAGTTATGTGCAGATGTATAGAATATGCCAAATATTGTAATTAGGCTTGGAATTTTTTTTACAGCCAGGTTGGTGCCACATTAGCTTATGTAAACAATGCTAACCCCCTCCCCCCCCCCCCTTTTGTTTACATATACCAGCTTAAAAAATGTTCCCATGTTTACATAAATAATAATGGTTGCCTAACTGTCTTGCATTGCCTTGGTGAAGCCCTGTAACACCTGCACTTTTTTAATTTTCTCTCCAAAATTCTGACCAGTTAACTCATTAACAGTTGACGTGAAAAGGGGCATGTTTCTAAGTTACCCATCTTCAGAAGACTAAGCCTTATAGCATTTTACAATCAGGAAGGTAACAGGGATGGACACAAACAACTAAATATCTGTACACCCTGAGCACTTATGTATGTTTTGTCACAAACTTTGTGGTTTTCAATTTGTTGTAGCATGCTTTATCATTTCCTTGGATATAAAAAAGATTGCTGGTTTTCATATTTAAATCTCTTTACTAGGGATGCATCGATACTATTTTTTCCAGCCAGAGTACGAGTACCGATACTTTTTCTCAAGTACTCAGTTGATTTAGCAAGCTGGAGACACAATGAGGCACATTTTTAGTGAATATCAGGCTCTGTCTTGTTTAACAAAGTGTGTGTGTCATGTTTTTAAGTTTGCAACACCAGCAGTATGCATTAATAAGTGACAATCATGCAGTGACATTGGCCTGGCTCCTGTATATCTTACCTTCCTCGAGAGGGTTGCCTGGTGTCGCTGTCAGGTTGCAGCTTCCCTTTTTCTCCCCTGGCAGGTCCTGGAGCTTTGTGCTGGAGTATGAGGAGACATGCCGGAGTCTGAGGATGGGTGCCGGGATGTGAGGAGAGGTGCCAGAGTCTGAGGAGGTCCCCAGCAGCTGCCCAAGATCCCCAGCAAGTGTGGGACCTCAAACAGCTGCTTGTGTTTAAGAATTTAAAGCACCAGTATCGTCACTTACTATCGGGACATTTTCACAAGTACCCGTGAAAATGGCCAGTATTGGCATTGATACTAGTATCGGTGCATCCCTACTTTTTACTGTATCCAAACACGGTACATTTTTGTTGTTTGACCTACCACTCAGGTCTCTGAACACTATTACCAGGTAATATTCTTGTAAATGTAGAAGCTTATTAAGCAGTCATATCCTTTGGAGATATATACACACACGAACACTATATTGCCGAAAGTATTGGGACACCTGCCCTTACTCGCACATCAACTTTAATGGCATCCCAGTCTTAGTCCGTGGGGTTCAATATTGAGTTGGCCCACCCTTTGCAGCTATAACGGCTTCATCTCTTCTGGAAAAGCTGTCCACAAGGTTTAGGAGTGTGTCTATGGGAATGTTTGACCATTCTTCCAGAAGCACATTTGTGAAGTCAGGTACTGATGTTGATGAATAGAAGTATTCACTCGCACTCCATGATATTAAAGTCAATGCTGTTTATCGACTGTAATGACACACATCTCCTTAGCAACGTTTCGAGACCGTGCAGCCCCTTCCTCAGGCAAACAGAGCCGTTGCAGGATGCCAGGCACTCCTCCCTCATCTCCCGGCTTGGCCTCCTGTGTCAGAATGGAGAGTGGCCCTGGGCGGTGACCGCTGTGATCTGTCACAGGCATCAGAGTTCTCTTCCCACACCTCCCAGCTCCTCCTCCTGTGTCAGGATGCCGCGCAGTGCGGGTTGGTGATGGCTGTGATCTGTCACAGGAGGCGGAGCTTTACGCCCACACCTTCCAATTCTGCCTCCTGTGTCAGGATAGAGAGCAGTTATTGGAGGAGAGTCATTTGCTTTGTCACAGGAGACAGAGCTCTCCTCCCCCACTGCCCGCTCCCCTCCTATGACAGCCTATTCCTGATGGAGAGCGGGGTATACAAATACTCATTGATCAGCTGATCGGTGAGTGTTTGTAAATAACTGGACATAGTGTGCTTATCATGTCCCAGTTATGAATGAATGGGAAGTGATTTTGTTTGTTTTATTACTGCTGCTTCTACTGAGTGTAGTTGAACAGTATGTTTTTTCTGTCAAAGTGTAAAAATAATTGGTCTTCTCTTCTACAGGCTTGGAACCCTTCAGAATAGGACCTTACACAAACTTTGTGAATATCGGGGAGCGATGTAATGTGGCAGGGTCAAAAAAGTTTGCAAAACTGATCATGTCAGAAAATTATGAGGTAGGATGCATTAGCAGACAAGCTTAACTAAACTTCTGTCATAATGCGGAATCATCCTTAATGTGCGCAACGATATGCCAGCAAGAAAACACTTTGCACAGAGCATTATACATGCATGTATTTTTGGCCATATTGCGATGGACATACAGTGGGTATAGAAAAGTATAACCCCCCCCTTTAAAATAATCACATTTTGCTTTGCGCCCTGGAATGAAGACCCTGGAATTTTATCCAGCTATATTTATTCAGTGCAACTTATAACATCCAAGTGTAAGATGTAACACCAACATGTAAAAAAAACAAAAAAAAACAGAATCACTGAGTTGGAAAAAGGATCACCCCCTCCTAAAAATGACTTGTAAACACAATCAGGTATAGCTAATCATCATCTCAATGGCACATAAAGCCATCTGACTTTCAAATGTGATCAGCTGCGGTCTTTTTAATTAGCTCAGCATGAAAAGAGCTTTGATGGAGCATTTCAGTCCCTGGTAGTGCAACTGAAGCAAACAATCAATTATGGGTGCAAGGCACTGTCAAAAGATCTCCGGGATAAAGTTCTGGACAGGCACAAGTCAGGAAAAGGATCCAAAACAAATTCAAAGGCTTTATCAATGCCTAGAAGCACAGTGAGGTCTATTATTAACTACCTTCCGTCCATGGGCGTTCGTGAACGGCCGGACGGAAGTCTGCTAGGAGCGGGAGGGCGTCTTAAGACGTCCTGCCCCTCCCCCTTCTCGTGTGCGGCACTCAGCGCGCACACGAGAGGGAAAACTATAAGCATACAAGCGATCAGGCATCTCTAGAGACGCCCGATCGCTTGCAGGAGCTGCGGGTGTGCGCCGCCCCCTCCCCCCCCGTACCTTTGTCTGCTCGTCGCCGCTGCCGGTCCGTGATCTGATGTGGCCGGTGCGGCTGGGACCGGCACGGCGACGCTATGGAAGGCATTTGGTACATTACAGACCCTCCCTGGATCAGGACGTCGCTCCAACCTGGATGAAAGAGCCAGGAGGAAACTGGTCAGAGAGTTTACCAAGAGGCCTACAGCAACTCTGAAGCAGTTGCAGGAATTTATAACAAAGAATAGTCACTGTGTGCATGTGACAACAATATCACAAATTCTCCACATGTGTGGCTTGTATGGGAGAGTTGCAAGAAAAAAGCCATTCCTCCAGAAAGGCCACATGCTGTCATGGCTGAGCTTTGCCAAAACGCACCCTGAAGATTCTGAGGCCACATGGAAAAAGTTGTTATGGTCAGATGAGATTAAAATTAAATTGTATGGCCTCAACACCAAACAATATGTCTGGCGGAAATCCAATACAGCTCACCATCCAAATAACACCATTCCTACAGTGAAGCATGGAGGTGGTAATATCCTGTTTCTCTGTAGCTGGGACTGGAGCACTTGTCAGGATAGAAGGAACAATGGATGGGGCAAAATACCATCAAATTCTTGTGGAAAATCTGCTGCCCTCTGCCAGAACGTTGTCAATGGGGAGAAGGTTTACCTTCCAAAATGACAATGACCCAAAGCACACAGTAAAAATCACCACACATTGGTTGATGGAGAAAAGGGTTAATGTCCTTGCATGGCCTTGTCAGTGCCGTGCCCAAACCACATTGAAAATCGGTGTAATGACTTGAAGACTGCAGTCCACCGGTCATCCATCAAATTTAACTGAACTTGAGCAGTTCTGCGAAGAAGAGAGGGCAAATATTGCAAAGTCTAGATGTGCAAAGTTAGTAGAAACTAAAAGCTGTAATGAAAGCTAAAGGTGGTTCAACAAAATACTGACACAATAGGGTGATCCTTTTTCCAACTCACTTGATTCTGTTTTTGAATTTTTTTATTTTTTCTGACATGTTGCTGTTTATAGCTTTCACTTGGATGTTATAAGTTACACTGGGTAAATGCAGCTGGAAAACAAAACTGTGTCTGTCTTCATTCCAGGCTGCAAAGCAACAACATGTGATTATTTTAAAGGGGGGTGATTCTTTTCTGTACCCACTGTATTAGTAAAGACTACACAATCTATTAAAACACACAGGGCTTGGGAACAAAGTGCCTGGGAGCTAAGTGGCGTTAAAAAATTGGCGTTGGACTGTTTGGGATATATTGAGTGCTTGATTTTTTGAATACTTGTTGTCTCCCTTCCTTTTTAGACCCTTTTTTAGTATTTAAAAACTCTTTTTCCTTTTCTGTCAGTTTTTTTAAACTGTTCCCTTTTTTTTTTTCTTCAGGTTGCAGTGCTCTTGTTAGGGGGAGGGGTTAATTGAGCTCAGGTGTCTCTCATTGAGCAGGTGACAGTACACCAGCCTGCCGATATATCAATGAAATAATTGGTAATAAGGCAGCAGACATGTTCACTTTGAAACAGACAGAAATTTTGGGGACCCTTACACAGCTTTGGGCCTGATCCCCCCCCACCCTGGCACTGCCGCCACACTGAGCCAGTCACATCAGTCTCTACACAGAGGAGCTTACACTCTAATGTCCTCCCACAGTCACCCACTATTATTATACATTTATATAGCTCTGACATATACCACAGTGCTATATAGCTCTAACATATACCCCAGTGCTATAGAGAGAACACTGAGCCAGTCATATCAGTCTCTGTACAGAAGAGCTTACACTCTAATGTCCCCCCACAGTCACACACTGGACTCTTTGCTTAGTAACGCGCTGGGCTCAGGGCTTCATAATGTGCTGGACTCAGGGCTTTGTATTGTGCTAGACTCTGGGCTTAGTAACGCACTGGATGCAGGGCTTCGTAATGCAAGACTTTATGAATGGGGAGTAGCACTCACTACAGAAGCTCCTCCCCATTCATAAACTAATGATAGTAAGATATTTTTTACTACATTATCTACATTAGTTTGTGAATGAATGAGAAGCCTCTGTACTGAGTGCTTCCCATTCATTGAGTGCTGGGGCTGCAGAAAAAGAAATTGAGGACTCTATGTCCTCAATTTCTTTTTCTATTTCAAAACGGAAATGTCAGGGGTCTATTTAGACCCCAGATATTTCACCGCAGCCCCCCCAACAGTTATAAAAAATGTATATGGGGGCCGAACAACAGTGAGTGAATAGCCGAATGCCGCCGAGCGCCATTCGGCTCAGCTATTCTGTTTGGTACCTCTCTGGTACCGAGCAGAATAGTAAAGTAGAAAAAAAAGAGAAAATGATTGGGCGGAGCTAGGCGTGACAGCTAGCTCCGCCCAACTGTTTTCTATTGGACGCGACCAGCTGTCATTACAATGAGAGCTTGTCTGAGCCGGCGGTCATATCAAAGCCGGCTCCGACAAGCTCTAATGACAGTCCAGCGTCCCCTGGTTACTATGTAACCAGGAGATGCTGAACTGTCATTACACACTGAGAACCTGGCGGAGCCGCCGTGATATCATGGCAGCGCTGTGATACCGTGTGTTGCAAATAAATATACACCTGTATCATTTTATCACAACACAAACACCAAAACAATTTTTTACATAAGTTCGCAAAAAGGCGCAATTACAAATTTGCTAATATTTGTTATTTATTAACTCAATACAGTTGTATCTCTTAGATTTAGTCAGACATTTTTTTTGTGCATGGATACTTATTTTGGTGTGTTTTAACAATTGAATTGTGTATTTTTATCTGTTTAATATTAATTTGAGAAACATTTGCGCAATTATAACAGGGCCTACAAATTTAGTTTCACCATCTTTTTATTCTACTGAGCCTGTACTTTCAGAAAATATACGGTTTGGGGGGTCTTTTACAAACGCTAGCAACCCAGCAGTTGAAAATCAAATCAATGGGAAAAATTGCAAAAATGGCTTGGCCAGCTGATTTGAAAAATGTTCCGGAGGGCTTGGCAGCAAAAGGGTTAAATGGGATCTGGGCACTTGCCAGGTTTAAAGATGGCCGCCGCTACTCGCGGCAGGCCATTTTTAAAAATCTAATGTGCATTGAATAAAGGGGACACCGGAGGCCCGCACGGAGCACCAGAGGTGCTGCGGGGGCCCGGCCACCTCCACCCCCTCGCCTGTCACCTATACGGCCGTCGGCCGATACCCATATAAGGTTCCCAGGCCCCTCAGGCTGCCTGGGCCCCTTAAATGAGTATCTGCCTTACCCCATGGTGGCGGCCCTGGAAACAGTTAATGGAAAACATCATCATATATTAATTTCATGTGTTACTGTAAAGAGAACAAATTGTGATGTGTGTTGGGCATGAGTGATATACAGTCATGTTGAAAAGTAAGTACACCACATGAAAATTTTTGACACTTTTACATTTACATGAGAGGCAAACATCAGATCGTCATTCAAACCATGCCTACAGATAAATCTGATATACTTGAACAAATGAAACATAACAATGGCATGGTGTCTTCATTCTCGTAATCTAAATGAACAAGATACACATTTGTCAAGTGGAAAAAGTACACCCCTACATTGACCACCAGTTGAAATCCATGAAATTAGAATCAGTTGCTCCAAATTAGTTGCCAATGATTACAACCTCCTTAGGGAATATGCAGGTTGAACCTGACTTATTTACAATTCTGATATCCAGATATGGTGTTGATTTTGCTATTGACATGTGTAGTGTCATAATGGCAAAATCAAAAGAGCTCTCAGAAAGAAAATGGCAGATGCCTAGGAATCTCCTAAAGGATTTAAGAAAATCACAAAATTATTTGAAATTAGACATTGCAGTGTAAGGAAAATAAATGTGGCTTGTTTCCACATACATGTGCAGCACTGTGCCCAAAAAATAGGCAGCTTAACCCCACAGTGACAGTTTCAGAATTTTTTTTCGTCCCTGGGGGCCAGGGACAAATGTGTTTGTTTAATCATAATTTCCATCGTTCTCATTCATTGCACCTACACATAGAATACCATTTTTTTAAAGGACAAAATGGGCGTTGATTTGATTTGACACATGCATATATAAATTCTTTTTTTTTTTTATAGATAATGCAAAAAAAAAGGAAAAAAAAAGAATGTCCTGATTCATAGGGTATATCATATATCTGGGATTTCAGTTTATTTTGGGAATTAAAAATCACAAAATACAAGTAGTGAAATACAATTTTAGTGTGGAACAATTTTAGAATGTGGTATGTTTGTCCTTATTTGTTTATTAAACATATTTTTGTTTTACTTTTTCCCTTTTTTTAAATGTTTACAATTTTGAAAAACTTTTTAAAAACTCTTACATTTTTTTAACTGGGGCACTAAAGGGTGAATTTTTTTAAGGGGCTTTGATACTTCAGATACCTCAGAGATGCTTAGAAAAAAAAGTGATCACACGACTGGGGCCACCAAATTTGCTGTTGAGGGTCTGCCTCGGACCCTGAGGAACCCAGCAACAGCACTAACTAAATGAGCGCTGGTCCGCTCATTTTACTGCATGTTGGGATTTTTCCGTCACCAGTCTTTAATGAACTGAAAGACCGTGACAGAATAATCCCATCATCCGTTGGGAATGGGTTAACCCCTTCGTGACAGACGACGTACAGTGTACGTCGCCAGCATCGGGGCTGTTTAAACAGACATAGTTTGAACAAGCCCTTTTGCAACATTTGATGTCAAAATGCATGCATTTAAAAATAGCAAGGAGGTTGTATCAAATTTGTAAAGTTTTTTTTTAGCATGTATATCTTTATTAAAATGTTTCAAACATTCAGCAAACATGACATTTAAGTTTCAATTATAGCAAAACAGTATTGCAACCAAAGCAATTGCATAAAGGAAAAAAAACAAAAACAGTGAATACATTGATTGGATATTAGTTTTAACCGTAAACCAGAGAGAAAGAAAATGTTATAAAAGATTTATCAATACAGAGAATACACAAAAAGGAGCGAAGAAAGAAAAGAGAAAGAAGAAAAAAAATGCTGTCCGGCCAGTATGTAGAAAATAGAGAAAATAAAGTTGATTGAATTATGAGTTTGAAGTATACTGCAGAAAGACAAGAAAGAGACACACTAAAGTAGGGGAAGTAAGAAGAATGATGTAGGAAAATCGATGAAAGAGTGTGTAGCGCTCACCCTTGAAGGAGCCTTTTGAATAACCTGGCTCATAATCACTAGTCTGTCTAGGGGTTTGATCTTCAGCTGCCCCACTAGCATTCAACCGCCCTCTTCTAGTGCCCACAAAGCTGCTGTCCAATCCAGTAATACAATGCCGAATAACTTTTATTAAACTTTTCACACTGGCGAGAGAGGGTATAGGGATCCTAGACATCCAGGGTATAACAGACAGACTCCAGACTCACCAGACCTTTTAAGCATCTCAGTGTAGATCATTTTGTGATACAGTGAACGGTAATTGGAGTAACAGATGAGCAGGGATGAGTACAGATCCTCAGCAGGAGAGACACCAGCCATGCTCTAGAGGTCCTCCATGTTCCAGGCACCTCCAGCAGACATTAGCTTCTCTGGTTCTCCTTTTTTGGCAAATAACACAGGCCTCTTCCATACTTGAGACCTATGGAAACTCTTCCCACACTCCAGCCTCTGCCCACCCCCAGGCCTAGCCTGGGGGGTGGCTGGACAGCACCCATCCCTAATCCATGACTGGTCCTGACTAGTCTGAGCACATGACAATTCCCTCCAGTATATGTACCCTATCCCAGCATGCACCACTGGTTGAGAGAAACATAGTGATTTGCTGCTGTACTGTACATACACTCACAGTGCCACTCATTGGTTGTCCCACAATATAGTAGAGTCACACCCTGGGGGGCTGTACAGTCAATGCCAGACACCTGGAATTAACCAGATAAATGCCACTATAATCCAACCAGGCTGACTACAGCGCTGGCAATCACTGAATGTCTAGTAGCCACCTCACAGAAGGTAATGGGGCTACAAGTGAAAAATTACATCCAATATAGGAGTATGTGATAGAACGAACTAGAATGTGAGATTAAGCCTAAAGGTATTATGAAACTTCAAGTTTACCTAGGGAACCATCAGATTTGGCTAAGGGGTACCATGAAGAGTGTTGGAGCTCCTGTGTCAAATAGTTAGTCAGTCCAAGTGCTTAAGATTTTTCCTGTAAGGTGCAAATTATGTTTAGTATCAAGTTTATGAATCGGCATGAGTTGGTTTAGCGTAGATTTCACATCAGCCAAGTTAGGGGGATTTGGATGTATCCACGTCCAAAGAATGTTTTTCTTTGCTGCTAGAAGGCAATAATGTTCCCATTGAGACGGCGAAGAGTGGGAGAGGGTAAAGCAGGTAGGTATGAAGTGAAATAAACCAAAAAGAGGGGGTAAAGTGACAGGTTGTCTGACAGGGAAACCATATACTGAGATATGGTTTGCCAATATTGTTAAAGAAAAGGGCATTGCCGTAATAGATGGGTTAAATTGGGACGAGAAATATGACATTTTGGGCATTGAGAGAGCCATTTCGAATTTGGAGAAGTGGGATAGAAGTTAAAAGCATAAGATGCCCCTGTATCACATTGAATTGGATTTCTATCCATGTCTCACTAGGTACATTTTAAATAAACAAATCTGTGCTTATGGAAAAAACCCCATGCACCTATTAAGCTGCTGTGCTAAAAGGTATTTATCCTTTCACGTATATGAATATTGAGCTGCAATGCGCTACAAATAGGACTATATACAACTATATCTGTGTACAATAAATTAATTAAATCAATAAACCAAAACAACAATCATGAAAGTTCCAGAATTAGTCGCCGTGAACTCCTGATATATCACCGTGACCAACAAGTGTCAATCAGATTGTGTAACACATAAAAAGTGAAATATTAATGTCCAATCCACAATTTGAAAAATCGCTCTTCAATCTCTGTGTGCCGTATATCCTCTATTAAACATCCGTGTTAATTCACCTGCTGTGCGTGTAACGCATATAGATCTGCTCCCACCATATTCAACTCCACCATCCTGAAGTCTGCATCTCCTCATCTGTTCCAAAAACATTAAAAATTTAACATGCAGTGTGTCTTAAAAAAACAGTGCTTTATTAAATGAATTTCAAACACTCACATATTCTGTAGAAAGTGATCATGTTATACAAAAAAACCCGCACGTTCGTCTCTCCAGGGCTCAGAGCTCTAATCTTCAAACGTGATGAACTCTGCGTGTGGCCACGCGTTGACATGTTTAGTCAAACATGACTTCCTCTGAATGGCGTCCATGCTGAGTTCATGAAGTTCAACATATTTATACAAAACAATATTTTTGTTATGTATGTGTGTGTGTGTGTATATATATATATATATATATCGAGAGAGAGAGAGAGAGAGAGATTATAATTTATATTAAATGCATCTTTAGATACATGTTCAGTTTTTTTAATGGATCAGAGATCGGTACCTACTATTATACTATTATGAGTCATATTTGATGATAAATCCCTTGTTAAACTTATGTATATTTTGTTAGTTTTGCTCCAATAAGTTGCAATTAATATGTTATGCTAGTATGTGTGTGTATATATGCTTGTGTATATATATGTGTGTGTGTATATATATATATATATATATATGTATGTATGTATATATATATATATATACACACACTATATTGCCAAAGGTATTGGGACACCCCTCCAAATCATTGGATTCAGGTGTTCCAGGAAATTTCCTTGCTATTAAATATTACATGATATTATAACAAAGTGGAAGCAACTGGGAACAACAGCAACTCGGCCACGTAAAATGATGGAGTGGGGTCAGCGCATGCTGAAGTGCACAGTGTGCAGAAGTGACACCCGGCAGACCATGCGCACGCCTATGACTTTTATACACCTGTAGTCACTTATTGGAGAAACGCCAGTAGATCTCTTCGGGCGACTTGTGAATACATGCAAGAAAAAATAATTTGTTTAATATTTTGCAGCTGTCAAGTTGAGTGATACAATTCCTTCATGTTCAATCAGCCTAATTATAGTCTTATTTTAACAGGAAGCTTTATCAATTGCAAAAGCACAAGTTGAAATGGGAGCACAAGTTCTGGACATTAACATGGATGATGGAATGTTGGATGGGCCCAGGGCCATGGCACGATTTTGTAATTACATTGCATCTGAACCAGATATTGCTAAGGTAAATCATTTTCAGCAAGTTTTTGAAAATTTAATTCATAATGGAGAACGTCACTTTGGGTATGCATCAAATGCTCTTTAGACTACATAATACATGTTTTCTGCTTATATAGCATGGTTTTATTTATTTATGTATTACTGGTATTTATGTAGCGCCAACAATTTATGCAGCACTTTACACAGTTGCACATTTACATCAGTCCCTGCTCTCGCGAAGCTTACAATCTAAGGTTTCTATCTCACATGCATACATATGTAAGGGCCAATTTAGACCGGAGCCAATTCATTTTATTTTAACCTATGTATTTGCAGTGTGGCAAGAAACCGGAGTACCCGGAGGAAACACTAGCACAGGGAGAACGTGCAAACTCCTTGCTTATAGTTGCCTGGCCAGGATTCGAACCAGGGTCCCCCAGTGCTGCAAGGCAGAAGCGTTAACCACTATGCTGTGTGCTGCCCATTCACCTATACATACATAATATACAAAAAGCAGTCTGGAACAAGTATGAATTACACAACTGGTGCATGCAATGATTAGCTCCACATCTCCCAATTTGGTTACAGTAAATACTTTTCATCTGTATTAAGAGCATTACATTTGTATTTGAGGTTTTAGCAGCAGATTCTATGGAGAACATCACCAAATATAAATGGGAGCTAAATATGAAACTTCTGGGGCAGTGAACAATGAATCGAGGTAAGTGAACGTAGGGATGAAAAGGCGGTGTTTGGCACTCATGTGTGATGGAATGAAAGGGCACAATGGTCTCCTCTGATAGGTTTGGGGTGGGTACAGTGATGGGACACTCCTGGTGATGTGAGAATTTCTGCATGTGTAACTGGTTGTGAATTCTTTACTCACCATGAAATTTGGTGTGTGGCGATATCATTGACTAAATAAATCCTGTAGCAGGTTGGAGGCAGGGTGGCGAAAAACGTTCTGTTTTTTTAGGTGGTTGTTTGATGTTGTTCACCTGTAGGTCAATCTAGGAGAGATGCGGTGTGGGGGTTCTAATGGATATTCTTGATTGATGAGGTCCTAGGGCAGACTTGCTGTATTGGGGTTCAGATGGATAGTCCTGATTGCCGAAGTCCTAGGTTCTCTAGGGACCTGCTGTCCAAGGTAATGCTTTGCGCTTGGTTGGAGAGGAAAAAGAGGCAGGAGTCCATCCTGTGTGAACACAGGTGGTGTAAGCTGGCACCCTGGCAATTTAGCTGGAGGAGGAGTGGGATGCAGAAGGGGGGAACGGCCGCTGGATGTCAGCGTGAGAGTGTTCTCGTGTCCAGGTAACCAAGTGAGAGGAGTGGGAGGCAGTGAAGCTGCCGTCGGGTGTCAGCGGTCGGTGGATCGAGAACTGGGCTTTGGCTCAGATGGCACCGCTGGGCAGTGCAGTCAAGGAGCCTGTGTCTTGCATGGGGGAGTGCGGCTTGGGGTGATCACCTGGGTTTGTTTGTGTGTGGTATTGCTGCTGGAGCAGGGAGGATGAGAGGCACCTGTGTGCGGTGTGGAGGGGAAATTAATGTGTTCGGGAAGGGCAGGTTGCGCACAATGACAGCGGGGAAGACAGTGGATCACTACACCGGGTGGTGTGCGACCCTTTTCATTCCTATGGTCATTTACCTCAATTCATTGTTAGTCCCTGGTCATTTCACATCCACACATTCTGTGCCAGTCACTTGCACTCCTTCCTGCTTTCCTTTTATGTTCAACTTTATACAGTTAGACACCTAACTCCTTCTGTGGCTGAATAGGCACACTTTAGAAAAATGTTTCATTAACATAGGGACTCTTTAAGGGGGCTTTTGTAATTTATGATCTTCTATATTTTAGGTTCCTCTATGCATTGACTCATCCAATTTTGAAGTAATTGAAGCTGGACTGAAATGCTGTCAGGGTAAATGTATAGTAAATAGTATCAGTTTGAAGGAGGGAGAGGAGGATTTCCTGGCAAAAGCTAAAAAGATAAAGCAGTTTGGTGTGGCGGTGGTTGTCATGGCTTTTGATGAAGTGGGACAGGTAAGTTATTGTCTAAAACATAATTTTATTGCACATGTCTAAAAGTAAATACATAGAGGAAATACTTTGTAGCAGCCTTGCCTTTAATGCACTACATAATCAAGTAACAAGTAAAAGTCATATGTGTTTGACATTTGCTGGCATTTTACATACAGTATAGTATGATGAATGATGGGCCCAAGGGACAAAAACTGTTGATGAAATAAAACTAAAAGCTAATGGGAGTGTTTATTTATGTATAACAGGATAGTAATAAAGCCCAATTGAACATTCAATTTAAATCCACCCAATTCATTCCAGGTACATAAAACAAAAGGTGGGGGAAGTCTTACAGTTTGGTTTCTTTAGAAAGCAGCCACAGCTTAAATAGCAGTCTACCCCCCTGCCAGCATGTGCAAATAGAGACCCTCGCTCGCTGTGTGGCAAAATGGGCTCTCTGCACAGGTCAGAGATGCTCCCTACTAAATCAGATCTAGAACTTTCCAAACAGAGCATGTAAGCTTTGTTGATTGCAGATCGGGTTTGACTTGGCAGGGCTTAAGTGGGGCCTCTGCAGAGAGACTATTGCTTAAACAGAAAGAGCATGCTTACAGGGGACAGGATTTTTTTTTATTTACTTGGGCTGTGTGCTTTTTGAACAAAAAAAGGAACTGCTCACCTTTGATGATGCACCTGTAATGTATTTATCAGATTTAAGTGATAAGTTTAGTTGGGCTTCAAAGGGATATATTGAATAGACCCCTTGCTTAAAACGTGTTTGAAACCATGAATGCCTAAAGGAATTAAAATGTCTTGATGATACATCACAGGAAACAGGGTTACATCTTAAAGTGTTGTGTTATGCTATGCAGTTATCTTCAGATGATTGGACACTGGCAAATTAAAGCCATTAGGATAACCTTCCCACTCCTAGCCTGCCTCAGTTTTTTACAGTTTTTACAGTTTCTGCAGTTTCTACTGAAGGCTCTTCTAGAAAATGTCAGCGGCAGCTACTGTCAAGTTTTTTTCCTCAGCAGAGGAAAAAAAAGTACCCTGTGCAGCACTTGTAGTTGGCACAGGGTACTTTACAGGTCCAGGGTTGTGGTTTATTTTGATGGAGCCCTGTCCCTGAAGACCACCTTCAGGGGGTAGGCTCAGTGGGAGAACGAAGACTGGATGGGGTATGTTCCCTTAAAGTGGCCATGCTGCTGAGTCACCTGCTGCTCTGAGGGTGACAAATCAGGGCTATTCTCTGTTAAAGTACCCGGTTTTGCCTCTTCCCCCTGATGGCCAGCTTGGGACTCAAGTGTGGGTTGAAGTTCACTCTCCCAATTTTTTTCATTGCCATTTCCACAGGTGGCCTGGGGAGCCACATGGTGCCTGCACAGCAAACTGCTCCAGCTGCAGCTGCAACTCTGCATTGTGCTTAAAGGCGTCCAGATCTCCTCTAGCCACTGGTCTACTGTAATGTTGTTGCATACAGTATTGGGACTCTGGGCTCCTCCCACAGTTGTGAGTGCTATGGATAAACCTCTCAGACAATGGCAAATCATAATCATGGGTTTCTGTTAGCCCTGCGTTCTGCCCCTACTCCCCCCTTCCTCCCTGCCCTCTTCAGAATTCTCTAGGATTCCCTCTTCTACCCTGCCTTTCCAAAGAAGCGTTTACTGCAATAATGGTGGAACTGCTGGTGAAAATGGCTGCACTATTGGAACCCTCAGGCCGCAGGAGGCGTGAATGGCTGCCCTCTCCTTTCTCTTCTTTGTTGCTCACTGACATATTTCTGCTTGCTTGTGCACTCCTTGAGGAAGAAGATGAGGAAGTAGGGGTGGCTTCCAGTTCCATGGACTCAGAAGAGGATTGTCTCCTGACATCTCTTCCAAGCTCGAGGACACGCATTCTGTTCTTATGTATGCAGAGCGTGATTTTTTACAGGTAGCTCCACCAGCGTCAACCTTTGCCAAAGGTCACTACTATGCCAAAATGTTTCCTGTACAGCACATACAGTGTTGTATGTTGACTGGGATTACCCCAGAAGAATCTTTACTTCTCTGAAATGGTTTGCTAAGAAATACCCTAAGACAGTTTTATAATAAATAAAAAAAATAGCCTGTCTCTGTTGTAGATTATGTTAACGATCCCTTTACAGCATGTTCCTATTTTCAAAAACTGTGGACAAGGCATGAGAACCTCTCTGTAATGCCTTATTTTCCCTTGCAGGCCCTGCTTTGTAACCTGTTGTTGCCACCATGGTGGGGTGGCAGACTTTATCCGTGTAGACAAATGCTACGTCTAGGGACCCTGAGTCTTTCTTGACAGACCCCACTGCTCTAAAATATGTAGTGCTCTTTCCTGTCAATGTGTGCTACTATGTAGATGGCCTGTATACCCTTAGACAAAGCTCCAGGATGGGTCCTCCTGTCTGTCCATGTATGACAGATCCTATGGCTAAAAAGCTGGTCTGCAAAGTTCTCTTGCAAGAAGCTCCTTGAAAGCATGCCCTTTACTGGGAAACTCCTGTTCAACAAATCTTTAAATACCTACAGTATATCAAGGAAGTAACGGGGGGACAAGGGCACCTTTTACCCTCAATAGAAGAAGTCTAAGCCTCTGGTGGCTAAATCCATTCCCTTCCATTCATTGAAGGACACAAAATTTAAGGGAAGGGAGATACGACCACCTGCAGTAGTAGGACGCTAGACAACAAACAGCAAAGCGCAGCCCTGGATGTGGCCCTTGCTTGTGGCTCAACACCCTGCTTATTAGAGGAAGCTCAGTTTTTTGCCTAGTGTTGGGCAGTATGGACCTATTTTCCTATTGGGATCTTGGTTGCAGGATGTTGACCTTCAATCAACTGCTGAGCTGGATGACTGGCCGGATGTTATAGATCCTTATAGTCTCCCTAGCTCTGCCTATGAGGACATACAGGCCTGTACAGGAATGCTGGTTCAGCTGCAACAACCCCTTCCTGGATCCGGGTCAGCTTCTGAGGGGATTCACAGGAGGAAGCATATGACCAATTTGCCTGCAGCTGTTTTGTCATAGTGTCCCCCCTAGGCTTTCAGACCCCCCACCTCAGTGAGAGGTCGTCTGTATTTGTTATTGGCACCATGGTGTCGGTCTAGACAAGTAAGTGGGTCCCTCTCTCTTTCCTTATGGGTTATGGGAGTAGACTGGGTGCCTTATGCTTCCCTAACATACTGGGCTGGCGCAGGGGCACCCCTTTCATGTGGGTTTACCCTAGGGTTACCTTTTCTGCAAGCCAAACCCGAACACTATAGCACCTTGCGGCAATTTTTTTTTTTTTTACAGAGTATACACAATGCATATATTTTGTGATGAAATAACATTTGAGTTATGTGCAATAGTGCATACCTGGGTCACCTGTGGCATCTTTTGTGGGGGCATGTCACAGGTCCCCAGATATGCACTATTAGTCTCCAAAAACGACTGTACTTCACAGCCTGCCTTGAGACAATAAGATTAATAAGCTGCGTACACCCAATCTATAAAGTGTTAAACAAAAAAATGTGTATATGGTGCCATGCTCCCAATACCCACAATCACTCTAAACAATTTACCACATATATCCCTGTATAATGAATGATATAAATCACTGTGTATTCCGAACTCAATTGGTAGAGCCATGTATACCACTCTGCCGCAATGCAATTAACTAAAAAAACATATTTGCATTTATAGTGCAATCCCAAAAATTACATTAACTAAAAAAAAGTATTTTTCACATTTATAGTGCAATGCAAACACTTATAAAGGGGTCCAATTAGTGCCGTCTGGTGTATGTCTTCAGTTAGAGGTTTCCACCATCACTCCTCATCCACACTCTGTGTTTTCAAAACAAGGTGCCACCACCTCTTCTCGTGTGTTATATCCTTAAGGAAAACTGCTTTCTTATTCCACAGACCTCGGGAACAAGGTCTGGATATAGCTGGTCCCCTTTCACCCTCCTGTCGGGGGAGACTCTTCACTCTACACCTTTTTGTGAATAACCCTGGAAATGTTCTAACACCTAGTAATACTCACCGTCAGGGTGGTCCCAATCCTTTTTGCTGCCTGAGGATGGGGGTGTTGGTGCTGGAGATGCAGGCACATAGTGTGTGGGGGGGGTTTCTGGTGGAGAGTGACACTGCCGCCCAGGTGTGCAGGAGTAACATTGACGCTTTGGCCGTTGTTGTCCTGTCCAGCAGTGTCTCAGGTTGCTAAGAGCTGTATGGCCCTTGCACCTCCTTCCACCCAGCTCTTAGCAACCTCTGGCACTCTGGTCAAAAAGGGGGCAGCAGGCACCCAGTAAATAATATGCTTGCCGTTCCCCACCCCGCGTGACCCTAAGAGACATCGCCTAAGGCAACAGCGTCAGGCTGTCCCATTTATAGGGATGGTGCTGCTCACCATAATTTGCAGTCCCATGAAAGTCCTCCAATCTTTAGGGCTCCAATGTGGGTGGATACTTCTACCAGTGCCCACGTTCCATCCTGATTATGTGCACGCTGATCCTGCACTGATTAGGTGCAATGATGTCAATAAGTGCAGACCTGGGCGATCCGGGATGCGTGTCGTGCACTTTAATGGGGTTACATCCACGCGGCAATCACAAAAAAAGGTACATGTACACACAATACGCGGCTGTTTTCAGTTGCACGGGTGGAATCGTGGCAGGAAATCGCGCAATCCGCCCGGCGTGACTGGGGTGCCATTATAAAACAATGGCACCGCCAGCGCGATTGTTGGTAGTGGGCAATTCTGTGACCGCACAGGAAATCTGCGCGTTATCATGGACGATACCGCGCGGTGATCTTGTTACTTTCGGCCTACTGGACAAAATGACAAGTTCACTTTACAGAAGGGACTTTAAGCATGGTCAATCTGCCTTCAATGTTCTTCCCAAACTATTGTCAGCCTGCCCACTACTTTTAGGTATAGAGGAACATGTGAAACCCCTCTACCTCCCAGCAATCCAGTGATCAATTCTTGAGCCAGTGCTGCAAAATGGGGGAGAACAG